AAAGTACTGATATACCAGGAGAAGCAAGGACTGGAGACTGATGCTGATATTATTGTCAAGATATTTGTTGTGTTTGCTAAACCAACAGGTAACAAGAAATACTACATGTACATGTACATGTATAGTGTTTAATAATTACATTTGCGTACCTGCACACTAAGTTAAAATTAATAAGATTTTGTTGATTTTTACATCTTTAACTCCTAAAATTTTAACTCTGCTTTTGTATGGTTGATTTTTGGATCATTGCAAATGGCTCCCATTTTGCCAAATCCTACTTGCCAAGTTTTATTTGGAAAGCAATTTTATTCAAGAAGGAAATAGTCAAAATTAATTAAATAATAATTTTAATAATATCTGCTTCTTTTTTGTTCTGTAGAAGCTGAGAGTACAGTCAAGTCGCTAAACGGAAGGTGGTTCGGTGGTCGTGTTATAACGGCAGAGCTCTACGATCAAGCGAAATTTGATGCTAACGACCTTTCACACTGAAAGACTGTCACAATCAAGAAAGAAGAGAATTAAAATCTCTCTTCTTCTCATCAAATTGTCTCCTTGACATTTTACAAATGGATTGATACACACACATGTACAAAACAAACTTGTGAAATACCTCTCTCTCTCTATCTTTTTTTTCTCTTTTTTATAAAATTTTAAAATGTAGTAAGAATTAATTAATTTGGAGCCATTACTTTGTGTGGTCAAAACATTAATGTTAGAGTATACGGGAATATCCGGAAATCACGAGCATTCAGTATGAGGGGGACCATGGCTATGGAAGAGGAAAGTGGTTACTCTTTCTCTTCTTGCGTGAGGTATTTCTCTAAAGGGACCATATTCTCCTCCATCTTTAACCTCCTCACGACTTGTATTGGTGCTGGAACCCTCGCCCTCCCTTACGCTTTCAGTCAAGGCGGCCTAATTTACAGCAGCATAGTCTTCTTCATGGTAATGGTAATGGCTATCCTGGTCGGGTTTCTCCTCTACGATGCTAAAAAGTACTCGCACGAGATCTGCCCCGGGCTGGAGGTGAAGGGATACGAGGACTTGGCAGAAGGCTCGTTCGGTGCTGTTGGAAGAGTAAGAAAACTGCACTATACAAACTGCAATAATGAATATTATATGCATGTATGCCATTACATCTTACATTGTATGTACATGGTCTGATTAAATTTTGGCACCTTTGATACCTTTGATCTTTGTGATTGTACGATTGTCTTATCTCTTTCTTTTGAAGGATGTCCTGTAGCAGTTAGTTTTGGAAAGTACCATACATGTACATGTACATGTATACTTGTATTTTGATTTATAGATTTAAGTTAGCAGTTTTAAGATGACGAATTGATCTGTTGGTTAGCTGAAATTTCCTTTAAAATTTCCCTTTTAATGGACTTACCTTGCACATGTATTTTAGGGAGAAGTAACAAATGTTATATCATGTAATAAT